GACCATCTCAGACATGAGTCCAAGAACTTCATCCAACTTAGTAAATGGATTCAAGTGGCATTTGGAAGTCAAGGTCACAAAGTCCCTACCCTGAAGTCACACACTTTAGATAGATGAGAGGCTCCGCAGACAAGTTTCTTGGTCCACAACTGATTAATGGTGTGATAATACAATACAATAAGGAAAAGCATGAAAGGAGAATAGGAAAGAAGGGGAGGGTGCATCAACAGAGCTACCTGGAAGAAAGAGACGAGGCAGGAAAACCATGAGAAACAGACAGAAGAATTTAAGTGAACTTAAATGGTAGATCTGTAGAGGGTTAGTCAGCTATACAACCTCAAATAGCCCTCCTGAGGACACCCCAGTATCACAGTTAATCTATCAATGCTGCACTGCTACTAAAGATGACAGGACAATCATAGCCACCCCTGTGTGAGGCCTCCCCTATTCAGGTCACCGTGATGGACGCCTCATGTGCATTAGCACATAGTACACACACAGTGATGATCACAACGGTGACCCTGAATCATAAAGACGGCTAAGTGATGTTAGCATACCCTTCCTTTTTCCTAAAAGTGGGATACTATAAACATACAGAAATGAGTTTTAAGAGATTTCCTTCCAAAATCATCGTTTTTTCAATTTAAAATTATTTTTTAATTAAATTGGTAAGAGTAAGTTGGCTCAGTTGCTTCACCAGCAATGCCTAATATTTTAGGCATCGCTGGACCTCAAGTTACATGAAAACTGAGACAGGTATGTGTGTGAGAGCATGGAGGGCATGGGGTAATTTTTTGGTTTTATTTTGTTTGTTTGATGGTTGTTTTGGGTTGTTGTCTTTGTGTTTGGTTTTTTTTGCTGCTGTTGTTTCTTAAGCAAGTGAATGGAAAGGCAAAGTTTACAACTGATTCCCAACTGTGTTTCATCAGTCCTATAGGACACATTTATATCTATAATTGTAAAAATGTAACATAACATCTCAAAGTCTTAAATAGGAGTCTTTTTAAAGGGCTGAAAGATTTAACAGCAGAAAATTGTGTATCTCCATTAATGTGGAATATTATTGAGTATGATGAAGGCCTTTGGCAATGCCAACCCATAATATATATATATATATATATATATATATATATATATATATGGCAATACCAGATAAGTGAGCTTGCATCTTTTTTTCCCTTTGATCCTTCTTTGGCCCTACTGTGTTTTGGTGCTTCTTCTCTGGTTCTCTGTGTACCTTTGTATGTGCTTCATATGTTGGCACCTATATTTGTTTATATGTCCATTTGACCTTATGTGTGCATTGTGTGTGTGTGTGTATTTTTCTTGGTGCCTCAGTTTTTTAATTAGTCTTTTCTCTTTGATGTTTCATGTTTCTTTCTTTTTTTAATTTTCTCTTTACCATTTTCCACTTTTAACTTTTCTATCACATTCTCTCTCTCAAGTATATTATAACATTTAATTATATCCTTCATTATGCCTTGTACATTTTCATAGAAACATACATTCATGCATTTATATTAAATAGAGGCTAAAGTTTATTTTTAAAATATTTCTTATCTGATGGGATGAAAGAGTTTTTTCTCACTTGATTCTGGCTAATAATTTCTATGATCCATGGCTCTTGATTTATTAAAATAAAATAATTTCATGGCCCATCATGAAATCTTTAGGTATTCTAAAGATTCCAATCAAAGGATATATAAAATAAAAATGTGTAAAAGGAAGATAAAAATTATAGGTAGAAAATTATCATTTGAGTCTCCAATTCACCACAAAACATATTTGTACTTCACCTACTTCTCATATAGACACAGAAATTTACAGCAATAAAATACAAGTTGATCACTTCTTACATGCCTTATGTCCTCTATCTCTCTGCACAAATTAAAAAAATATTAATAATAACCAATTCAAATAAATTTATTATCATTAGTATACTCATATACAGTTAAACAACATAATAATGTCACATCAACTAGGAAAAACCTGCTTCCTAGAACAATTAATATGGAGGCTGTATTTAGAAAATGGTGAAGCAAAATGAAATTGATTCATGGTCTACCACTATTGTCTTATTTTATCTCTTTCCTATTTTGCAATCCCCATCAATAATTATAAGCCTTTAAGATGTGAAATTATTAAATTAGGTGTATCTTTTATAGGTTATTAAAAATAAAAGTTGAAGGGATAAATTTTATTTGACATAGGTTTTTCAATTAAAGTGGAAATATTATATTTGCTTTGAATTGAATACCAGAAAACTCGAAAAATTGACATTTCCAGTAAACCTAGAGGGGTATGGAGCACAGAAATACCAGTCTTACTTTTATCTCTGAAATGTAAAAAAAAATGCCAAATGTGACTCAGGGGTCATGAATGTTATACTACTTCCTATCACTTATCTTGTCCCTTTGTTATCAGCAGGTATCTACGAATCCTATCTGTCAAGAGTGACGGGGATAGTTGTATCACCGAGTGTACTGCAGCAGTAATTGTAGGTTAACTTTCAATTATCAACAATTTTGGATCTACATTTTGGATTACAGGAAGATTCCGAGAGCCCCTATGATTTTGTCAACATCAGATAGTGTTTTTCTATTTTCTTCCAGAGTCAAAAGTAAATGGCATTGGATTATTCATTAGAAACACTATGTGCATTTTTCCTCCCTTCCATTTGTGTAAAGTAAAATATTGGAATTCATATAACCCAGGGCATGACCTTCCTCTGAAGGGTTGATACACAGTTAATAGCCCATGGGAAAGAATTTAATCCTTGGATCCCTAAAAAGCTATAAAGAGCCTAGGTCACTTCTCCACGTACAAGCTTGGTTTTAGAAGCACACAAAGCTCATTTTGGAGTCGAATGGAGAAGTCTGTGACATATAGCACATAGAGTGATTCTAACAGATGGATTTTTCTTGAAATAACTTCATTAGTTAATCACTTTTTTTTACATATACTTTTTCTAGCTAACTGGTATAGCTGCCAGCTGGAGCTGCTAAGAATCCTCCAAAGAAACTGGTAGGTAGGGAGAATATTGGCTAATTTCACCAATTCTTGGATGAAACTTCTACTAATTTCATACTAACCATCACGTATTTTGAGAGTAAAATCTTTTCCTTTATTTTTTTTTCAACTTTTTCCAAAAACTTACTTATCTGTGTTTAAACCAAATCAATCATATGGAAAAAACTTTCAATTTTAATAAATTGTCTAGATCCGAGTTTCCCATACTTGACACTATTGACATTGTGGATGAGATAATCCTTTTTTTTTTCTGTTCTTTGCTTTTGTTTATTTTAATTTTTGTAGCAGGTTGCCCTGTGCATTGTAGGCTGTTGAGGAGCATCCCTGGTCTCTACCCACTTGATGTCAGTAGCATCCCCAGTTGTGACAACCAAAGATGTCTCCAGACATTGCTGAATGTCCCTGGGGGCAAAATCACCCCAGCTGAGAACCACCACTCTAGAAATAGGAGGTTCCTAGTTTTAATTCAATTTTTAAAATAATTTTAAAAATATTTTAGTGTATTCATGTATGTATTTAACTCGAGGTATGTCTAAAATATGAGAAGTTTTTGCCTTTCAGTCAGGTAAATGAAATGTTTTTATTGGGGAGGGAGGGAGTAGAATTATTTAAGTGGTTAATGCTTTCATAAATCTCTCTGGTTAAAGAGAAAAAAAGACAAGATAAATGGCTTTCAACTACCAATGAATATTAATTATCTAAGGAGTGTCATCGTCATCTTCATCAGACATGTTGAAGAGTTCTTTTCCTTTAAAGAAGGTCCTCAATGTAACTGTATGAGTAGAATAATAAAATCCTGTGTTGGGATCATTTGAGATGTAAGTGATTAATTTTCAGCTTAGATGCCCTAAGGCATTTTTAAATAAAGGAAAGCAGTGTAATTTAATGAAATGAACATTGAGAAAACTGGGATCTGTTTTGACTTTACGATATCATTAGGCAGTGATTTGGGGCTCACAAAAGGATTAGCCATTCAGATAGAGACATTCCCTGGCCTTTGAAATTCAGGGGTAAATGTAATGTTCCCCTCCTACTTATGACTTAGTGATCTTTCTGTAATTTATATATTGATGGATATAGGAAGAGTACCATGGGAATAAGATGCTAATTACCAAGGGTTTTAAAAGGGAAATAGTGAGCCTATTCTAGTTTAGCAGGAAAGTAAGAATGTAACAACATGAAGTGTGTGGAAAGAATCATTCATTGTTTTTTAAAAAAGTAATGATTCTATTCGAATTGCTTTCTTTGCAGCAAAGGCTTTCTAATACAGATTTGCTCAAGCAGGCTCTTAATACAAGATAATTTTAACACTTAACCAATTCCATGTTTGAATGTATAATTTCCCCCCCAAATCGAGACATGTACCTAAAAATTTTATAGTGATCTGTTTCCTTTGTTAGATTTCCCAGAGCCCCTGAAGAATTTAGATCTTACACTTTATTTTAAATTTAAAACTGATTCTTTTTAATATGTTATATTGTGCAGACCATCACTTTTAGTCCTCTCAGAATGCATTATCTCCTATTTTTTTTCTTTTTGGTTTCTTAAAAGTATGACACAAATTTATTACTTTACAATTCTAGAAGGCAGAAGTCTGAAATGGGTTTCACTTGCCTAAAATGAAGCCTGTAGGCCGGGCTGCCATTCCTTCTGAAGGCTCTAGGGGAGCATCTGTTCCCTTGACTATTCAATCTTCTAGAGGTTTCCTGATTTCTTGGCTCATGGCCCCCTCCTCCATCTTCAAAACCCGGAGGGGCAGCATCTTCATCTCTCTGACTCAGACTGCCCTGCCTCTGTCTTTCACTTTTAAGGACCCATGAGAACGCACTGTTTCCTTGGATATGGCAAAAGCAAAATCACACATCTTGAGATTTCAACTCAAAGGACCAAATATCACTACTACGTGCCTTATCTGTACATCATGGGGTTCACTGCCCTCAAGTCACAAACGAAAGCGTCTGTGCACTTACTTTCTGCAGGTTCTTTAGGGCGGCGGCCACTGGACGACTTCCTCAGCAGGCTGCGTCCCGAGGTAAAGAGGCTGGTTAGTTCCTCCAAAGGACTCGTGGGTGTTCTGGACCGGGAACCGCTTGGAGCCGACCCGTAGGTATTGACCGAGGCATTGACCATCTTGCTCCCATCTTGCGACACCGGTCTGGGGGTCAAATGAGGCACTGATGGAGAGCTCCTGGAGAGGCTGCCTGAATGCACGGCGTCGTAGGGCGGGGGCCTTTTGAGGCTGAGCGGGGTCAGGGACCTGCCCATGCTGACGGGTGACGGAGAGGCAGAGTGACTTTTGGGGTAGCCGTGGGGAGACTGCGTTCGGTATAGAGTGGAAGGCGGGGGAGGGGACGAGGAGAGAACCGAGGCAGCAGGAACGGGTCCCAGGGCTCCGGCCTGGTCTTTCTCCAGTTTAGGGTGGCCGGAGGCCTGGGACGGCAAGGAGGATGGTGACGCCCCGGCCTGCTGTTTCATGTAAGACACGTTTTCCAACACAGGAAGCTTTGTGACCTCCAGGGGTGTGAGCGGAGACTCATCGGAGTTGGGGGAGCACTGCACAGGGGCCGGGGGGAACACCAGCAGCGGGGGTCTATGAGAAAGCAGGTTGGGAAAGGGCGGAGGGATGTCACAGAGCAAACCCTTCGGGGTACATGGCACTGAGGACTTGGCCGAGTCCAAGTCAGGCACCGTGGGAGTAGCACACTGCGAAGAACAACTGTGATGGTCAAGGTCACACTTTGAATCTTGGCCTAAGTCGTCAAAAATGGGGTATTTCATTTCTTCGTAGACGGCCTCACTCTGGTCGTCGTCGTCTTTCCGGAAGTCTCTGAGAATGTTCCCCACCATCTCAATGTACACGGGTTCCTCCTCCTCGGGGCCCCCTGAGGGGCTGCTGACCTGGGAGAGGGAGGGGTCCCGAGGGAGTGAGGTCCTCCGGGGCACGTGCTTCTTGACATACGTTTCGTCAAAAGATGTGCTGAGCTGAGTGTTTGGATTCCGTTTTGGTTTTGGAGGAGGAATCTTCTTTGAATATTCATCACTGTGGGGTCTTGGCTTGGCTGACACTAAAAGAAGAAGGAGAAAAAAGAAAACGTAAAACAGATGAGTACCACAGGAAAGCTTTCAAATATGACTTTCAGGTGGATTTACTGCTCTAAACATTTGAGGGGACGGGTAATGCTGCGTTTCAAGCTGGAGACGTAGACTACAAATCCAACAAAAGTCAAACATTTCCATATTTAGAAAAATATGATGCAAGAACAGTAGTAATATGTATCTTCAAACTAATATAAATAATCCAACACGGATAAATGCATTAAGACCAGGACTTACTCATCCCTCTGTCTTAGAATTCCTAAATAGAAACTTCAGATGACACAATTGGATAAAAACAATCACACATTTCATAAAAATCAACTTCTAAGAATTCAGCAACAAAGAAACTTAGGGGAAAAAATCTAGAGTTTCTATTAGTACAAATGGTTACAAAAATACCATGGGGACTGAGCCCTTTAAATGATGTGGCTATTACACATGATCACATCTTGCTTTTATTTGGGGTAAAAATGTTCCAGTCTGCTAGACTTAATCTCTGTCTTGGTTCAGATAAATAACTTTTATACAGATGGGTCTGATTCTTCAGGGGAAATTGATGTGAACATTTTATGAGGCTAGACAAGTTAATCTCCAAATCTCCAGGTATTGTTGATTATGGTGTATTTGTTTTAGTTCATAAGATCTCTTATGATATCCCAAATGCTGTCTTGGAATGAATTTATTGCCCTGACACATCAGAACCCCCTGGAGAGTTTTACAAGAGAATAATCCAGAGAATGATGTGTAAGCTTCAAGAATAACTTCTGAAAACTCACAACAGATATGCATACAAGTACACCCCACAGCCCCCCTTGTAATGGAACGTAAACTTCTGACTCCATCTAGTAGGTTGGAACAGGCTGGCAACGTGTCTGTGACTGCAATCAATTGTTTAGCAGGCAGGGAAAGTACTGGAGTCCTGATATTATCTCATTGTGCTGAGATATGATTACAATGATTAGCATTTTTACGCAACGTGGCAGAATGTAGTTGCTTGTGGTAAGTGGTAGCATATAATGTAAGTTGACGGTATGGCTTATAGGTGTACACCTATGAGAAAAGAACAGGCTTCTCTATAATTTGCAGCTTGAAGGGAGGGGACGTCTCAAGGCGCAAACCAGGAAACACCCCAAATTTTCTGGGTTTTTTTTTTTCAACTAGCAAAACTTATGACATAGGAGCTTTTCTAAAACTTACTATTGGAGAAGCAAGTGCTTAAAGATTAGTTAGGTGGCTGCTTTATGCATCAATCATGCCTTCAGAGAAAGAGAACCCATCAAATATTCTAGCAGTGGCTATATCTTTTGCTTCTCTAGGTCATTCCTGCTTTCAAATATTCTACTCCATTGTACCCATGGTGATGGTTTCACTCACTACAATCAAGCAGCTTGTTGAAGGGAAGTTTCTTAATGTATGTCGACTTTTCCTTAACTTACAATAGGAAAAAACTAGATGCCATTTTACAGGGGGACGATACAGCAGTAGAGCCTTTTAGTGTCAAAAGGGAAAAGCCTAGGGACATAATGGAATGAAAACTATCCAGATAATTCTTTAGGCGGGACCCAAAGTGACCAATAGCTCTTCTCTGTATCTCCTACCGGTCATACATTTTTATTGGCTTTGAAATCTACCATGTATGTTAATTTTCATATGATTCGAATAGATCGTCAGACTACATACAAAAATTGGAGCCCAAATAAAGTAAACCCATAAATTAATGAGTGAGATTGACTTGGAACTGGAGGGACTTTGAAAGAGCCAGGACCTAGAACAAAAGTCCATCCAGATTATTCTTCTGAAGCTTGTTTCCTGCCATGCTCCACCTCAGTGTGTCATCCTAGGCTAAGTAACTCACACTCTAGGAATATGTGCCACTGACTATTGAGTTCTAGGAGCTGGATGGTGTGGGAAGTAGCAAGGTGTTCTGTAAATGGAGAGTTAACCAAAAGTTAGGAACGAATGTGTGTCCATGAGATGGATAACTTCATTATATGCTTAAAATTATACTTAGAATAAGATTTTCATTTTTCTCTGGTTCCTAAATTATAATTCACTGCCGTTTTCTTTGACCCTTCCCTAAACATGACTTGGGTTGTTGTACGGACAGAAATAACAGGACAGGCAGAGCCCAAGCCTAGGTAGAAACACTGCATTGAAGGAAGACCATAACCCAGGATTCCCAGGAAGTTAGAGATCAGTGGTAGAGCTGACAGTAACATGATATTCAGGGAAGCAGCAGCCTCTTCCCTGGAACCAACATCCCTCTTCCCACATAGAATAGAAGGTGGCCTTTGGAATAGGCAAGACCAATGTTTGGGTTGCGCTCAGAATATGCAACTTTGTTTGCCAAAAGATCAGAAAAAAATGAAATAAAGACCCGCCGTATCTATGAAATGTGGAAGAAAGAAAAAGGTTCTATTCTAGAGCACAACATAGTTAGAATTAAGGTAACTATTCATTATGAAGAAATTGTGATAATTTATTTGAACTGTTAGGACAACTTCAGTACCAAACCAAGTACAGGTATTATCTGACGAGTGGGATTAAGTATAATATGTGACTCTTATGATGACTCTGAGGTAATCGAAATTGACAGTTGCTATGGACTGAACTGTGTCCCCTCCACAAATTCATATGTTGAAGTCCTAACCCCCAATGTGATGTTATTTGGAGGTAGATCCTTTGAGAGATAATTGGGTCATGAGGTCATGAGGGCTGGGTCCTCATGATGGATGAGATTAGTGCCCTTATAAGAGGAGTCACTGGGGTATCTTCGTTGTCTTATTCTCTCCACCATGTGAGGACATAGTGAGAAGGTTGCCATCTGCAAGGCAGTAAGAGAATTCTCCCCAGAAACTGACTATGTTGGCACCTTGATCTTGGACTTCTGGCCTCAAGAACTATGAGAAAATATATGTCTGTTGTTTAAGCCACCCAGTCTGTGGAATTTTGTTATGTCAGCTTGAGATGACATAGACAAGAGAATACTGATTGAGCCCTATGTAAAGACCCTATAAAGCTAACTCCTGAGCACCCACTTTTTCATCCTCTGGCACTGTAATACTTTAATAAGCTTTGCTACTTGAAGAATTAATTTAACTCTTTCCCAGTCTTTTCAATGTAACCAGCACCTTCCCTTGCCCGGTACCTCCTCACCCCTGAAGCCACATCACAGAAAGCATATTACAGCTGAATACAGAGATGCTGATCCCAGGTACACCCAGGAGCATCCTTCCACCACACTGCCTGTCATTCTGATTCTTCTTAATCTGATGCTCCAACTTCTGATTCGTGCCAAGGCACATGCCATATTATTTAATTAGACCCATTTTCTAGATGCTCTTTGTCTTCTGTAGTTGTTTGCTTTGGCATATAGACTCCCTGCTCCACTAGGTTTTGTATGTTCTGCTGCCCACCATCAGAAGCAGTTCTCCAGCCAACCTTGCCCAGCAAATCCTTCATTATCTGGGCAAGCTTCTTCCCTCTCCCCTTCCCTGTGTGGTGAAAAGAGCCTAACGCAGGCAGATTCATATAATTCAAACACATTTTGTTTCCTGCTCCCCTTCCTTTGTATGAATACAAATTTAAAATGAGAGAACTGAGGATTATTTAGTGAGTAAAGCAATAAGTAAATTACAGCCAATCGGGATGAATAAACAGATTCATTCCTTCAGTATTGGGAGACTTTTCTTCCAGGCAATATCTGGTTCCCATTCCACATCCTCCTTGCAATCTCATGGCTCTCTCTGAAAAGTCAGAGGAGGGAATAATTTCATCTCTAATGAAATGATTTTTCTCTGCATTTGCGACATCATCTGGTTTCACCTTATTCCATGTATTGAGTAAATATGAAATTTTGTTTCAACTGTCATATCTGCTTTGTTTGTTTTTTGTTTACCCAAATGAGAAAAAGTCTGAAATTTTTAGCAACTTTGCCTCATGATTTATTCTAGTTTAACATCACCCTGGGGAATTAAAAATTAAGGGAAAACTCATGTTTCAAAAGTTATTTCTTTACAAGGTGCTTAAAAATAGTCTTGATCTACATACATAGGTGCTGAACTACTGCTAATAAAAGACAATAAAAATTGCATTGCAAATTTCAACACTTAACCAAATTCAACCACAATAAAAAGGTGATTTTTATTGCTCTTAAATGAATTTTAAATCATTACTAATAAGTCCAAAGATAGAAGCAATAATCCCTGTTCAGCTCCAGAACACAAATTTCATGCTTAAAATAGTATAATGACAGTAGCATTGAATAAGCAGAAAGTGACATTTTTGAAACGAAATATCTGAGCACAAAGGTAATGCATGGCTTTCAGTCATGCCCAGATGATCTGCCTTTCAGAGTTAATTTTGGAAATCTGCCATGTCGCTTGTCAAGCTATCCTTCTGAAATAATATTTTCCTTATTAAAAAAAAAAAGTGTACTATAAAACCAGGCTTTGGTGTCTGTGAATATTCTTGACCCAAGAAGTGAAAAAAGAGACAACATCACAGGTGGGTATTTCCCCTGATGGAAAGTCTCTTTGGTCACAGACTCCCAGAATTTGAAGGACTCTTAGAGATTATCCAACCCAAACTCCATATATCACTGATGAAGAAATATAAATGCCTTATCAACTACTTTAAAAAAACCTCATAATGTCAATTCAATCTTTTATAACATTTAAAACAAAGGAAAGAAATAAGGGGGGAAAGCTCTGTAATTCATTATTTTGTATATGGCATAAAGTATCATTTTAAAAGGTCTTCTCACCCATGCTTATAGTGGTATTATCGCATGGCCTGGTTATAGAGGTATACTTAAAGAGCTCTGGTTATAGAGATATATTTAAATATGTAATTCAAACTGGGAAATAAGAGTCCAGTGAACAGGAGTAACGGCCACACTCTGTGATACTGAACTGGCTGATTCTAGAAAGTGAGAGGCACATTTCCCACTTTCAGCAGAATCGTGCTC